ATGATTCTATATCATTTGAATTGTGTTTATTTTTAAAGAAACTATTTACAAATTCCCACTGCTTTTTTATGTTATCACCTGCCTGATCCCATTTTTTACGAAAATATAAGTTTTTCAATGACTTGATTTTATTGTTAACTTTGTTTTTAAGCTTTCTAAATTCAGTATCATACATAACAACTTCCGGATTTTTAACTTTTTTTCTATATGCTATGTCACGTTGTTTCATCATTTCAAGAAGTTCTTGATTGATCCAGGTATTATTCTCTCTAATTTTAATAGTTTTGACATATTCCGATGCAGTCTTAGTATCTATAATTAATTTTATCAAATCCTGAAATGATGAAACTACGACATTGTTATTGTTGATCTCATCTCTAAACAGTGATTTAAATGTTTCATAATTTATCATTTTAATATTATGTCGAACTTTAGGTTTAAATATCTTTACATTTTCTTGAATCTTGAACATCAATAAATTATGATCAGATAAGCAGTTGGGTTGCACATTCAAAGAGGAAATAAATTTTGAGCCGTAGTCTGACATAACATGATCGATAAGAGTTTTGCTGTGTTGTGTAACTCTGGTAGCGTTTTCAACTGAAATTTCATTAATAATTTTAAAATTATTTAATTGGAGAAGATTTTTAAAGTTATGAACCAATTTAGAGTCTTCTAATAAGTTGATGTTAAAATCACCAACTATAACATGTTTTTTAGGATGTTTTGACAAAATTTTTTCTATATCTACAAAAAAATCTGCAATGTTATAATTTGGTGGTCTATATAAAACGCTTATTTTTAAGTTATTCTCACCCACACTTACACACACCCAGTTGATTGCCTGGCTTGGATCCGACTGATCGATGAGACGACTTTTTATCGATTTTTTAATGTAGATTGAGGACCCTCCACCTCTGGCACCAACTCTGCATGAATGCACTGCACTATAGTTATCTAACCCATCCAGAAAAGCATTACTTTCCTCCAACCATGTTTCAGAAAACAATAATATATCAGACTTATTTGCAATTGCAAAACTTTGTAAATTGTCTAATTTGTTGCGTATACTTTGAATGTTTGTGTATGCTACATTTAATAGAACTCGAGGCCCGACTTCCTAATCACTTACCAACTAATCCTCCCTCTGTATCAATAAGATTTTGGTATTATCTCCTTTTCTTAAAAATATGTTTCCATCTTTTATCCACAAATATTTGAATTCATTTTGTTTTTTAAATGCATTACATTCTTTATAGAGCTCCAAGTTTTTTTTTGTCAGGTCTTGGTTGATAAATATCTTATTATTCGCATTAAATCCCAATGACTGGGTAGTTAGGCGGATCTTTCTGGGTGATTTCAAAAGCTTATTTTTGGTTTCTTCATTCTCAAACTTTATTTTAATTGGACAAGTTTTATTTTCTTCTCTCTTACCAATTCTCGTAGCTGTAATACGTTCATTGGATAAGTCAACCTGAAGTTCTTTACCAACTTTTTCAACCATTTTTTTCAAGTCTTCTTCGGCACAGAATGGGATACCCAGCATGATTACATTATTTTTGAGTTCCTTCTGCTCGCTCTTATTTAACTGAATCTTTATGTCAGTAATCTCATCTCTTAAGTCCTTGTTTATCTGTAACTGCTCTTGATATTTATTTAGCAAGTCATTGTATTGTTTGGCCATGATTTCCAACTTATCCATGATTTCGTTATTTGTTAAGCAGCGTTTTCCTAGCAACGCACATTTTACGGGACGTAGAACGTAATACGGCCGACGCAACGCAACAGCTAATGCGCTGCGTAAAAGTGTTTTCCTAGGATTGTCAGTTGCGTCTCGATCGTCGCGATGAGTATATCAATAAAGAAATTACTCGAGAAATTAGCTTTGGCTTTATTCGAGGCTTTATTATTATGTCTGCTTCTGCAGAAATCACAAACCAGTCAGAGCGAATTTCATTGATTGAAAACAGTCAGAAAACTAGAATCAACCAATGAAATTCACTCTGACTGGTTTATTATTTCTGCAGAAACAGCCCTATTATTACAAGATGAAAATTTGCAAGAAGAGATTGATATAATAGTTACGATTTATGATAGGACTAGAAATTCTGCTAGTCAATTATTTCAAAAAAGAAGAAGCGAAGGAGCATTTAGAGATACTTATCCATAAACATCTCGACGACGAAGTAAAATTTGAAAAGCATATTTTATAGTTACAAGGCAGCAAATCTCATTTCTCCTCAATCTTGTGAGAAAAGATTTAAGTAAGGAATCATGGTAATCGCGTGCGACATCCTATTTCGCCACCTGAAAAGCTTGGCCTAACATTGAGGTATGTAAATATAAAACAACAGGAGCATTTTCTTTGCCAACACGCAGCGTACAACTGAATAGACTGCTATCCGAGCAGTCGTTCAGTTGCGTCGACCGTATTACGCTAGCGCAAGTCGTTTTTATGCGGTGTAGGAAAACACCTCCATTTGATTTTCATTAGACATGTCCTCAGCGTTTTACGCCGACCGAATTACGTTCTACGCCGCGTAAAATGTGCGTTGCTAGGAAAACGCTGCTTTAAGCGTGTTGGCAAAGAAAATGCTCCTGTTGTATTATATTTACATACCTCAATGTTAGGCCAAGCTTTTCAGGTGGCGAAATAGGATGTCGCACGCGATTACCATGATTCCTTACTTAAATCTTTTCTCACAAGATTGAGGAGAAATGAGATTTGCTGCCTTGTAACTATAAAATATGCTTTTCAAATTTTACTTCGTCGTCGAGATGTTTAAGGATAAGTATCTCTAAATGCTCCTTCGCTTCTTCTTTTTTGAAATAATTGACTAGCAGAATTTCTAGTCCTATCATAAATCGTAACTATTATATCAATCTCTTCTTGCAAATTTTCATCTTGTAATAATAGGGCTGTTTCTGCAGAAATAATAAACCAGTCAGAGTGAATTTCATTGGTTGAAACTAGTTTTCTGACTGTTTTCAATCAATGAAATTCGCTCTGACTGGTTTGTGATTTCTGCAGAAGCAGACATAATAATAAAGCTTCGAATAAAGCCAAAGCTAATTTCTCGAGTAATTTCTTTATTGATATACTCATCGCGACGATCAGACGCAACTGACAATCCTAGGAAAACACTTTTACGCAGCGCATCAGCTGTTGCGTTGCGTCGGCCGTATTACGTTCTACGTCGCGTAAAATGTGCATTGCTAGGAAAACGCTGCTTTACCTGTTTTGGCGCTTTGTTTTGACACGAGCCACAGAACCACTTTTCTGATGATTTACTGACTTTTTGGTAGGTTTTAAGAGCCATTGACAAGCACTTCCTGTGTTTCCACCCCATACACTTTTCACACAGTAGCCCTTCATCACTGTCCGCAACCACCTTATTACAAAGGTCACATATTTCGGTTTCCGTCATCTTGGCAACGCTGTAGTGGTTGCACCGGTTTTGTTATAAACAAAAGCACGAAATACCGGAAAGAAATACGTAATTTTTCGTTTAAATTATTAGCACTATCAATGCACCTAGCCTTTGCTGACCGTTTAGCGTCTTTTTCACTTTTTGATTTTTTTATATTCACTATAAAATCGCTGAAAAAGCACAACACAAATGACAATAGTCGTACACGGTTGCCAGTTTTTTCTGTTGTTTGAAATCTCTTTTTCAATAAGTCCTATGCAATGTCATAATTTAAATCAGTTATTTCAAGTGATTGAACTACTTTAAGAACATCACCCCGTAAGTATGATTTTAAATAATAAAATTTTTGTACTTTGGTCAATGTTTGATTCTGATGAACAAGAGAATCATAAGTGTCATAAAATTGCATAAATTCACTGAATGAACCACTAAATTCTGCGATCTTTATAGGTGGGAGTTGTACATTGGGCAATCGTAAGTTTGAAGGCAAGGATGTCCCACATTGAACATTTTGAACTGGTGATGGAGTTTGAACTGGACTTTGAACTGGAGTATTTACCTTTCTATGGTTATTAATAATATCTTGAACTGAAGAAACAGTGCTATAAAAAGCTTCTTCGAATGTAACCCTTTCTTGTAATTGTTTATCATCATTGTTAGTTAATAATTCAATTTGACTTTGAACAGAATCAAAATTATTAAAATATGATTCGATTGTTGATAATCTTTTTTCCAATTCTGTTGCCGACTTGTTTGCAATATAAAAAGCGTTTACAAATGAACTAAATCGCGTTAAATGCCCACGATGAAAAACTAATTGTTTTAACTTGTCTTGAAATTGTTCCTCTAGTTCGTTGTCACTAGGAGGAGCCATCTTGCAAAATATGTGTAAAAATAAACTTGTGAACACAAAAAGAAATATTTGATACTTGTTTCAAACACCTTTAACAAATGAACCTTGTGAATACGTAGATAATGTGCAAATTAATTATTGAACAAATTGAGTCTACCTGTTGTGATTTATATGGGAATAGGAAAATGATCATGGAACGGACTTACATTGATTTAAATCCTTCCTGTTGCCGTGTTTTCCTCCTTGGAGCACTGAACACTTTTATTTTGATCGATTGAATGTCAAATGTACGTATGGATACGCGGTACACGATATTTTTCGAAAATAATCCGGTGAGAAGTGACCAAATGTTGGATTTGGTGGTTCAAAATGGTACTTTCGAAAATAAAATGAGCACTACTGAACAGATAGCGGACTGTATACTAGTAAAATGACCTCTGAGCTGGTCAACTGAATGCGCAATAAAATTGTGAATGTGAATCTTAACGTAACCGAACTTACTTGAACCATAGAGCTTGCTTATTCTATGATGGCGGCGAATCGACTGGTTCCTCGTTGTCGTTGTGTAGGTGTGAACTTCGGGAGGTTGTGCGCGCGCGGCAGGAAGTCCAAACGCGCACGGCTGGCTGTCAGAACGCGGATAATGAACGTTAGATCGCGCGTAATTCAAATATCAAAACGCACAATGTCAATAATTACAATGAATATCATGAACTCTACCAAACCGAAACAGCCTCAACACTCCTTTTGTGGGCCATCGTACACTCGTCCCATACAATAAGTTTGGCTTTCCGCAATACTTCTGCCATATCACTTTGCTTCGGTATGTTACATAATGGGACTTCACAAAAATTCAGATTAAGAGGCAGTTGAAAGGCCGAGTGAGCTGTTTTACCTCCGTCAATCAATGTAGCAGCAATGCCTGAAGAAGCGACTGCAATCGCTATATTTTTGCCACCTCTTACAGTAGCCAGCAATAAATTTATCAAAAATGTTTTACCAGTACCACCTGGAGCGTCGAGGAAGAACAAATCACCAGATTCTGATGTAACACTTTCCATTATTTTGTCATAATCTTTTCTTTGATCCATATTTAGTTTTGTTCTGTTTTCCACGACCATTTCATTAAGTTGATAGGTATCATATGATAATTCTGCTAGGTATTGTCTATTATTAATTATAGAATCTTGAACTCGTGTTGATGAAGCTAAGCCACATTGTGAAAGAGTTTTTCCACACACTAATATAACAATCTCTTCGATAAGTATGAGACATTGATTATAAATATTTTCTCGAATCAATGTAATATCATCACATGATTTTTCTGAGTGCCTTTTAATGTCCTCTGATAAACTGTCGCGGTGTTTTTCCCATAGAATGTTAGGATCAGAGAGTTGACAGAAAACTATTAGGATTGCAAACAGTTCACGTATCATTCTGGGAGATCGACATATCGCAACTTCTTCTAGAGAGCGGTCCCAATGAGCGTCATCCTCTAACAATCCAAGTGCTCTACATGCCGCTTGAAAAGTTGGATGCAATACTCCGCATGTAGTTTTGAGATCATCAAACGATGTGGGTCCTCGAACTTTGTGCAATAGCAAGCGCAGGTAATAGCACTCGCCATTGCTCACAGGATGAATGGTGTACACTCTACCTAGTACGTGATCTTTTTTTACCCCAGGATAGCCAGGTACCGGTTGTCCTTGTTTTCTTCTGTGAAATGTGTTACTTTTCCAAGTATAATAAGCAGGAACCTCATGATACAGAAGAGTTTTTGCATAAGCGTCCACTTGATACAAATCAAAAAATGCCAGGAGTATGGTTTTGGAGGGATTACTTACTTTATCAAGTACATTAGTGTCTGTAAAATACAATCTCTGTCCATTTTCCAGATGTACTGCGAGATGAACAACAGGAGGATACCATTCATGAATTGGAAAACAAAAAATGCGCCATGCGGCTTCTGTGCTGCTTATATTTCGTCCTGTTTCGTACCTTGCCACTTCATCTAAATTTTGAACAGTAAATGTTGCTTGATCGGATCCCTTATTTACATACTTGCAGACGTATTTAATGGATTTCACAGAATTACAGTACTCAACGTTTATATGGGCTGCAAAGGTGCGAGACAGGACGGGATTGTAAGGTACAACCCACCGATTATCAATCTCATAACCGTTTAACATTGCAGTGAAGCCGTCTTCCGTCGGAGATCTCCTGCGATATTTAGGATAGCCATCATCTCCTGTTTGTGTTTCTGTCAATAATGGGCGAGGAAATTTTTTTGTACAAAAACCATCTACCATGCAAGGTGATTTTCTATTGAGAGTTCCGCAAGGGCCATGGATCATTGTGGTTGTTACGATTTCATAAAGAGCCGGGTCTACATTTGGATCAGGAATTTTCGCTCTTATTACGTCATCGATTGATTCCGGTCTTAACTTCTCATTGAGCCACAGGAGGATATGAATGTGAGGGAGAACTCTCTTTTGCCACTCCACTGAATACATGTGACATTTAGTGGCCCCAAAAATGTTCCCTTTTGTAAGCAATTTCATCATTTGTTTAACTTTTATGTGAAACATTCTTGCCACTAAATCATTTCTATCGTGAGATTTCGCCCTTCTTTTAGGTACTGCGTGATATCAGGCCATTTCGGATTACAGGTGAATGTGATAAATAAATCTGGACGTCCATATTGGCGCATATATGTCATTGCATCTTGAGTGCGCTCGTGCATGTATCGAGGTCCTCCTGTGAATGAAGACGGCAGGACTACCATTTTACCTAACTCAGAAGTAAGACCGTCGGTTCTTGCAATAGCATCTTTTAAATGAACATACTCCTCACTCCTTAGTTTCTTTTGGTTATTGCGAACATAATTAAGCCTCTCAGTCTCTATTTTCGCATACGTATCAACTAAAAATTGGTTCAAAAGGCTACGAAATAGTATTATGTATAGTTTTCCTCATCATTTCGCTCCATTAAGCCTGTAACTATAAAAATCAGCAGCGGAAACAGTCTTTTTCTGCGATTGACAAGAAATGTCAGCATTTTTGACCGGTTGACAGGTCGCAAAACTCAATATTCTGGTATTTCAATTATGTTTCAATAGTTGCTAAGGAATCAATGAATAACAATACTGTATTGCTGAATAATTGGAACTAAAAGACAAACATTTAACAGGTATTTAACCGATCGCAGAAAAAATAGTATGTGTATTTGGAAAAGCACATTCTAGGCCTTCGGTGTTTGTCGTCAACTTACACCGTCGGCCGAGAATGTGTCACTTTTCCACCTAAATACACAATATACTATTTTAAGATACTGTTTAGTTTTTGGGTCACATTGGGGTATACTTATTTGGTAGCCATCTTTACCACGACAGAAAATCAAAGGATATTGAAGAGCATCGTAAGCACGGTGTGTCTCGCTTATGCGCAGTAATCTGTTGTCTCTTCCATGAATGACAATGTCTCGTTTTTCAAGATGCTGTCCGACTATGAGCACAGCTACTTCCTTTGATACTGGAACATTGAATCGACCAGGGTGCTCTCCAATAGGCATTTTGTTGGCGCTTATGATTACCTTAAAGTCTGTTTGCCACACAGGTACTGAGTCTATAGCAGCCTTAAAATCAATTATGTATTTGTTGATTTTGTGAAGCATTTTTTGTAGCTGAAACACCAATTCAGGTTTAAGACCGTTGAAGATTCCACACCTAAGATCACACTCTCTATCATCATCGCATACAAAATAAGTTTGTAGAAAAGCAGGGTTTTGTTGAGGGTCAGGCAGAAGACTCCCGATTCGATGATACACTTGTCCCTGAACTTTGAATGTGGGCATATAATTACCTTCCTTTATTTCCTTGGCTCCGAAAGACGTCATCTGGAAGCATCCGTTATACTGGCGCACTGAAGAAAGAAAGTGTTCAGACATGGGATGATGCCGGGTGGCTCTGGATAGGGTTCAATGACTGGAAGCTGCACTTTTCCACTGCTACAACACATATCATTCGGATCTTCTTGCCATTTATAAGCATTACAGAATTCACATGTCTTACGCGGTCCGAGTTCAACCGATTTGTCATTTCGGTAGTCGGTATTAGGGTCGTAATTACAGCCAGACATAAGTTTATCTTTCCATGCTTTTTTATTATAATTGCCTACTGCCTGTTCGTTGACTTGGGGGTTATTTTTAGCGTACTTACTCACTGCAGCTCTATTTATTTCAGGATGTTTTTTTCCGTATTTACGAACCGCGGCTCTATTGATCTCGTTGTGTTGTTTCGTGTATTCATGGACCGCGGCTCTATGTATCTCAAGGTGAGCTTTAGTGTACTTGCTCACCGCGGCTCGATGGCTTTCAGGGTGCTTTTCATTGTAGTTTCTAACAGCCAGCTTTACTTGTCTTTTTCTCAAATTGTCCGTAAATCTCTTTCTGCGCTTTCTTTTGCCATAAGGCACATCAGCATTTTCTTGAGAAATATCTGAACCAACGTCAACTTGAGATTCAGTTGTAAAAACCTTTTCATTTTCGAGAGCACTTTCTGTTTCAGGCTCGATGACTATATTTTCTAGTTCGGCGTTCACAGTTGTCGTAAAAGTCACCTCAACCATTGGAATCAACACATCAAAGTGTCCTTCATTGAAATTCCCATTGAAGCGAATTTTTTTAACTCCTTCCAGGGCCTCACCAAATCTACCAACGACAATTCCATTTTGAAACAGTTGGAATTCGTAAGGAAGTATTTCTCCAGCTGCCATGATCTCACACGTAGTGCCATAAATATGCGGCAGGCTCATGTCAGCAATGTAAAGTCGCTTCGAATCATAAGGCACGCCAGCCCTGTCCATTGTATAGCATTTCAACCTTTTCCAATTGTTTGATACATGACGTACGATATCGGCTCGAATTTGGGCTGCCATTGATATGTCTCCGTGTAACAAATAAGACAAAGATGAAAATAAATAGGCCCCATCCCCTGGTATCGCTACCACTCTACATTGAACGTCCAATCCGTCGGAGATGACGGTTACAATTTCCTCAGTCGTCATCTTGACCCAACGATCTTGACTGAGCTTCAGTTTGTCAAAACTAAGCCACACAAGGAAAAAAAAATGAAATGACTTGCCATATAGTAACAACCAAAAAAAAGTTAAATATTTACAATTCTCCTTTTAATGAAATGGGTATCTTGTACACATTCGCTGAAGTAATGATAATCTTCGAAACTGTAACATATATTTGCATTCAAATCGTCGGGAACCTGCAAAATCGCTGGAAAATTTCTATTATTTGCTATGCACCGGGTTAAGTGGTTGTAGCTTGTATTAGTAAGCGGGCGGAACGACCCTATGGCAACCATTTCCGGTCGCATGACAGCTCTCAACATTTTTTTGACAGCTGACGTTAAATTTTTTTGAAGTGCCACTCGCTGCTAATAGCTTTGTTCGCGGATCATATTTTGAACCGATTCCGAACCAGTCCGGAACTAATTGAGGACTATCGTAGAGCGCATGCCCAGTTATAGCTGGGTTCGGCTTGCTCACTCCGTGCACTCCGAGTGATTCCGTTCGCACTTCAGCCGTTCGGGTATTACCTTTTAGCTTATCAGATAACGGCTGGAGTGCGATCGGAGTAACTCGGAGTGAGCAACCCGAACCCAATTTGTGAATGGGTTCAGGTTCCTATTTTATCGCGAACAGTTTTGGAACCGAACAAAAACTCCAGAACCTTGCTCCAGACTGTCGAATACGTGAACGAATTGCGAATGTCATGTCTCAAACTTGAAGTTAGCTTATTCTGGGACCGGTGGAATTTTTTCAGGAATCGTATTTTCGAATTCATTCGAATACACTTCGTACACGAAATTTGACTGACAGCAATGTAAATTAAATGGGGAGCATTCGAAGTCGTATCAAATTTCGTATGCGAGAATATTCGAAAATTCGACCCCAGAATCGGTTCCGAATCGTTTCTGGTGGAAGCATGAAAATATAACAACAAAAACACATTTTTTTTGCAGTGATTCTGCAAATGAAAATCGCTATGAATTTGATTCTGCTTGTCATATTTCTGAATTTGACAGCTGACACGTTATTTTTGGTTATTTAAGGCGATTGCTTGAGGCCATGTTGATATTATTTCTTAGTGAGCATCTCCAACCTATTACCTACCTGTTTGCAAAATTTCATCTCGATTGGTTTAGTAGTTTTCAAGATTTCGTGTTTAATCAGTCAGTCAGTGAGTGAGTGAATTTCACGTTTATATATATAGATACCTAAGTATGTATCTCCAATTTGTGATTAATTATTGTATTGCCAGTTTAAAGTTGAAAAAGTATACCTACTAGTTCTCACCTTACCTTCCAGCAAAGACAATACAATACAGTAGTATTGTCTTTGCTTGCAGTTAATTTTTCAAAAGTTCTACTCCCTACTACTAAAAAATAATAATTTTTAATTTTATAAAAAATCTTTATTGTAATAAATACAGATTTTAACATCAATTATAACTAGAATCTAAATGAAATTATCAAGAAAAGAAACAAATTATACATTGTACAATACACAGAAGAAATTTCCTAAACCAATCTGTTCACTAAACAAACCAAAACTGAAATTACAAACTAGGTAATTTAAAATTACATATTAAAAAAATAAGCTTCTTACGGAAGTTAACTATTATTCTAGCTATTGACGTATCTAACCAACTTTTAGCCACATTATTCATCATCCTTAAAAAATATTCATACTTACAAAATAATATAGAGGTACCCTAACTACTAACACTTAAATTCAAATTATGTATTAGGTCTATTTCTTAAAGGATGGTCTGTTTATGCTCACTGCCAGGAAGGTCCAGCTTCTGTCTCCGTCATGCCGATCAACCGTTTGTGGATGTGCGGAATGACACCACCTCCTGGAATGATGGCCTTGACTAAGCAGTCCAATTCCTCATCTCCTCTAATGGCCAATTGAATATGATGGGGGGTGATTCTTTTAACTTTGAAATCTTTACTGGCGTTTCCTGCCAACTCAAGAACCTGGAAAAAGTGATTTGTTTTTGAACCAGTGGCGGCTCGTCAGAGGAGGCAGGGGAGGCTAAACCTCCCCCAAAAAATTGAAAATTCAATATCAATTTTTTATTCCTGATTTCTAATTAAAATAATAATTCACAAATTACACAACATAATTCCAATTTTCGATATTTCAATGTAATTTAGAAAAATCTTTATTTCAATCAATCCCGCGCCTCTACGACCAAAATTTGTGAATCTGAAACAGTGGCGTATCTACCGGTGTGCCATGTGTGCGAAGCACACAGGCCCGACCCGAGAGGGGCCATAGCGAAACTGCAAAAAATAACGTAAAAAAATCGAGATTACACCAAGAAAAAAAAAGTAGCTACAGAAACTTCAACATACTGAAACAGGAGATCCTTCCCAGACCCAAAATAGGAATTCTAGGCTTCAAAAATTTTTCGCATTTAAAAAATTTTCGGATGGAAAATGCGTCCCTGATGCAATTTTGACGCGTTGCTATGACCAGAAGTG